GATCGATATTATTACCGTTCTTGAAATTGGCAATTAACAAACTTGAAATGCTTAAAAACATACATGATACGTAGATGTAAAAAGAAAAGATTAACATTTTTCTTTTCAGTGAGAATTGTGTTGAGCGTACGTTTTCTTTTATTACTTCTGTCACAAAAAGCAATACACGACAAGCCGAACGTGACGCACTTAATCGATTAGCAAGAATAATCAGAAAGTCAGCGAATATAAATGTTCATACTTCTATTACACTATACAGGCATCGTGTTCTAACGCAACAGTTAGCGAGTAACTCTTCCGGATAAAAAACTGACGGTAATAACGCGTATCAATAACGCGGGAGCAAAAAAACAAAACTACAAATAACAGTAGAAAAAAATAAATTGCAGATTTTTATACGCGTTCACCAATTACGAATTTTGTCTCTGCAACGGGAGGAGAAAAAAAAAGGATTAGAGAGTTCAACGAGAGAGAGAGAGAGAGAGAGAGAGAGAGAGAGAGAGAGAGAGAGAGAGAGAAGTCACGCGTGAGCGCAGATGGATGGCCGCTTTTGGACCACCGTGTAGTAGCCGGATCGCAGGCGGGGGTCTTATAATATCGCGTCATACGAAACGATGAAATAGTGGCCGTAGCGAAGGAATGTTCCCTACCACTCGAGTCGTCGAGTTGAGTTGACTGGCGTTGCGTGGTTCGTCGGGCTCGGCTCGACCGACCGCTTTCAACCGGTGTGTCTGTTCGTTCTTTCCTCGCCAGTGTTTCTCTGCGCGTGTACAGGGTGTTTGGCAATTGCCGGTACAACCGGAAAGGAGCGCGAGTTTCTCGTCACGAAACTCGACTCGATCTTCAAGAGCGATCTTTCTTTGTTCGTGTTTTTTCTTTTTCACGGGATCCATCGAGACTGCACTTACGAATTATTTCCGATCGCAGTTTTTTTAACGTAAATCGACTGTGACGGCGAATCAAGTCGGCCTTTAAAAAAGAAAAAAAAAAATCGTTGCAGAAACGAGTAAACCTCAAACGTTTTCAAGAGCGTTCGTCGTTACATTCGACGACTCGATTTCTTGCGAACCGCGAGCGAGCGTTCGGATCTGCTTGTTATTTTATGCTTATTAACAGTTGATATTCGCATGTTTGACCACTCGATGTATGAACACCGTAGAATTCATGTACTCGTGCGTATTATGACTGCTTTTACTAGCGGCATCAATGGGCGAACATCACGATGAGGATTACGAGATACTGACACCGCGCGATGCCGGTATTAAAGATAATACAGGTGTAAAGTGTTGAATCGCAACGTCCAAATATAAACTGTTAATATCTTTCTCTCTATAGTATTTAAACGTCATATTGATTTATATGTGAAGTACTTCATAATTACACAAAGATCACGTGTATCTATAAAATAAAAAATAAAAAAAAATTAAATTTTTCTCATACAAATTAAAAATTAAATAAAAAAATTGTACAAACTAATTTTAATGCTAATTTTTCTATTTTGCGTGACAAAAGAAAGTATAACTTTTCAAAGCTGGGTAAACAAACTCTCTCTAAAGTGCTGAAGCATCGCGATACACACACCGATTACTATTCGTTGTGCGAAAAAAGGCAACAAAGTTTACACACGGGCAGGCCGGAACTCGCCCATCACGATTATCATTTCTACAATTTATCCTCCTCACGGATAAAGCTCCGAAAAGCATTCACGCGTGCGTTTACACGTATCTCTTCTCATCGTCGCGGGAAGAAACACGGTGAGAGGTGAGGTAGGAACGGCGCAAGTTGTCTCGAGAGGGATTCAAAAGGTGCTCGACGGGGCCAGGCGTGGGCTACCCGTGATCATCATGACAAAAGCTCGGGGCAAACATCCGTTCAATTTATTAGCTTATAGGCAACGCCGTTCTCTTTCGTATACTACCTACTATACACCACCTACGACACCGGTCGTGGACCGCCTATAATGCCCGCAACATTATGGACATGCTCCCGAGCTAGCGGATCCTCTCTTCTCTCGCTCTGCCCGCTCCACCCTCCCGATGCGAGTCGCATCGTCCCCATAGAGTCCCGTTTTTTACGGTCGCGAAGGGCCAGTGATATTTTCTGGATCCCGGGGGTGGAAGATCGTAGCGGGGATCGAAATAGTTTCTTATATAGAAAAAAACTTTTTTTTTATGACATATTAATAACACTTCCAAGCGATTAAATATAATTTAAATCTAGCAACGAAAAAATAAATTATCGCGTAGACAACTAATAGCTTATGTGATTTTTATTTGAATAATATTCTTGAATATGCTTTTTCATCATTAAACATCATTTCTTGATAAAATCAATATGTGTAAAATTTAATGATATTTTGATTGTTCCTGTTCTTCTTTTGACCAAACACATGCTTCCAATTAAGGAATAAAAGAGATATTTCAGGCTAAGGATTAACTTTTATCGAGCATTTACAACGGGACGTCGTGCAAGATAGCGGAATATTAAGTTTCGCGCGTTTTATCGTCAATCTCGTGATAAAGGCGAGAATCGTGCCGTAAATCCGCACATTTATTCTCCGCGGTTTCGAGTTCCCACGTTAATAAGCAGGAAAACGCGTCGACGTGAAGGCGGTGTGCGCATCGCGCGTCGTGTGTTAATTCACAAATTAAACCAACCCGTTCGCCAAACACAATGTGATTTTTAAAATGCGTCGATTTCGCGTGCTTGATCGCATCATTGAGGACAACTTTTAAGAACAATATGGAAGAGAAATGTACACTTGTGTAAGTCTTTAATTTAATTAATAAAAAGTCTCGACTTATCAAATTAAAATTTTAGTATTATTAATATTATAAAAGAAAGAATATTATAAAGAATCTGTATTTTTTATTATGAATTAAAAGTAATTTTATGTAATTAAAATTGTTTCTCATTTTCTCTTTCTCGAAATTTCTATATCGTATATTCCACCTTTCTTTCCCACGAATTTTTCATTATCGCGTGGCAACTCTACGCTTATGACGCCTCTTTATCGGGAAAGGAGATGGTGTTTTATCGCCGCTCCGCCTCGCGCGGTTTCAAATTTTCCTCTCGACATCGAGCTTATCGACGTGGCGACTTTGCGCGTAAATGCTCGAAATTATAGTCGATCGACTACGATCTCGCGGCAGAATTTTTGTTCCCGTTAATGCTTTGCGCGTTGAAACGCCTCTTGTGCGCTTTTCTCGTCAGCATAAACAATCTCAATAGTTTTCAAATATTTTACGTAAAAAATGTTTTCAATAAGTACATCGTAAAAAATTCGAAAAGAAAATATGGGTCAACATAATAGCGTCATATATTTATTTTAGACAAAAGAAATCTTGTTTCGACTTTAGACAATCTTCCTTTCAACTAAATCAACTGGACATACTTTAACAATTCTTTGATCTTCACCGAAAGAAAAAATGTACACATCTGTTACTTTATTGTTTTGATAGTTTCTTTCACATTATTTTACGAGTCTCAAATTCTAAGTTATTTTTAGTTTATTGTCTCTGTTTGGTAATATATTTTAACTATCTGCGCTTCATGTGTTGCGATACGATCTTTCAATTGTATATCCACTGTGTGTTCACTTTTTAAACATTGAAAAGAACCTAATCCAAGGTCAAAACATCTACAGAATTTTTGTATCTAAAATGAACACATGTGTCGCACCGTCTGTGCTATCTTTTTCTTTTGGATTTGTTTTTATTTTATTTTCTTTGGAGTTATTCTTTGACTAAAATAAAGACTTTTTCTTATTATCGACTCGGAAGAAATAAGTTAATGTAAACGGAAAGATTGGTTTGTCATTCAACGACGACATGACAATGAAAATTATTTCGACAATGGCGAAGACACGGGATATTACATTCCTGGCGACATCGACGCCCACGATTAACGACTCGCGCCGATGATAACCAGGCCCACGCCTCCATCCCGGATAGGGTAATGTCTCGACGCATTCGTTTTATGAGGCCATTTTCGGCGCACGAGAACTCGTCAACGATCACGCGACCGAGAACGAGAAGAAGAAACCGAGAGAATTGATACGAGGGCGTGAAAAACGACACTGTGAGAGTCGCCGATGTCGTCGGCGCTGGTCGTTCGTTTTTAAACCGCCCGCTGATATTATTTCGGAAAATTTACAGAGAGGCAATCGTCTCTCGCGATGTTATAATTTACGAAAATCTAATTTTTTTTAAACGTACTCTTAATGTAAAAAAAATATTATACGTGTAAAATTCAATTTTTTCTGATTTAAAATTCTCCTTTTATTTTTCATAAGCCAGAAAAAAATTCCTTAAAAGTTCGAATACATGTAATCGTCGAAGGTATTACATCCTCGGATTATATCTTCGAGACATGAACATGAAAAGAAGACGGTTTCCCTCCCCGCGCCACGTAATAGCGGTAGCATGTCCAACGGGTCCGACATTTCGCGTCCGGCGGCCATTGTGCGCTAAACTCCAAAATAAAGGGGGAGATACGCCACGGCCGGGAATTACGCATCCGCTGAAAGGCAGGCGCAAATTACAGAACGGGGCGTAATGGCCGAGGTACATGAGGCACCTTATCGCCGACAATTTCTGCGCGCGCGAGCCGCCGGAGGAAGGAAAATCCTTGCGCGCGCGAAATTATCCTCTAGAAGGGATTATATGGAGATCGAGAGCCGGCTTTACATGCTTCGTTGGACGACGCGTGAACGTTTAACCGTTTCAACACCGAGTTGATCGTTCAGTTCCACATTTGCACAAGCATGATAGACTTCAAAATTTATCAACACTTATTGAACAATTACAATAATAACGGCAGGTTAAGGTTCGCAAAAGTAAAATCACAGTAAAACAAAATTTAGCAGATAATAAAACATGAGAATTTCAAGAGTTTGAAAAATCAATCTTCTTAATAAGAACTTACTTTTCTTTTGTTTTATGAAAAAAAAAAAAAAACGACGAATTATATGCAGATCGCGTTCGAAATGTGAGAGTTACCTGGCCGTGCTTATCCATGTCATTGTTTGTCAGCTTCACTTTTTCAAAAGACACAACTTGCTTTCGTAACTGTTCGCCTGTGAAGGGAGAATCTGGATGAACGTAGAGTCGCACACGTGCCGGTGGATCGGCTTTCCCGGCCTCAAGCCAACAGCTACGATGATAAGCATATCGATATCTCTTGTTGTCAACCGGCACAATATCCATTAAGACTGCGTACCGGCCATCAGATCTCAATCCATTGAAGGACACCCGGCAAGTTGGAAACATTCGTCTGCGGAAGAACACGCGTACAAATAAACTTTAGTTTCATTGTGACAAATTACAAGCGATGATCAGATAGGTAATAACTGCAATACGTAATAACTGAAATAATACGGTATAAATAAATATGAATATTTGGCAAAAATATAATATGTGAAAATTATTATTCCAGGAATAAAGATCGTACTGTTTTACTTATTGTGTACGTGTGTGTGCGTGCGTGCGCGCGAGCGCGCGTTCTAGATGCGCATCTCGATCTAGATATAATTATGTTTGCCTACATAATTATATCTGATAATACAGCAGTCATTTGCATATTAATTACGAACATGAAAATGACAAACGAAATCGAATTTCGATTTTTATCGCGTTGAATATGTATTCAATGAATTTAACCTCTTCCAGTAATTATAAAATGACGTAACGAACTATCAGGCTAATGTTTACAGTAATTCCAGAATACAACGTAGCTTTTTCTCGGCAGCATAAATATTTTACGTAGTACGTATATATCAGACATTATTATAATTCTTTCCAGTGTTGTAATCTATTGCGTGCAATTATATAATATACACTTGTCACTTTTATCACATCTAATGTTTATCTCCACCGAATTTGCGACTAATTATAGGCTGTTTATTTCAAAAAAACGCGACTGTCAGAGCCGAAGCCACGACTCTTGAGTGCATGCGGTCGACACTTCAACATCTAAAGGAGGCGTCGGGGCGCGCACGCGCCTCCTCCACCGTCGCGTCGGCCGGGTTGATGTCGATGCAAGTCGAGAGCTGGATTTTTCGCTGGCACCGCAGCACGGAAAGCGTAGTTTGACCTTCATCTCTCGGGTTTCCGACCGAGAGAGCTTTCACGCGGCTCACAATGTACGTCCTCGAGCGATCGCACGCGATGTACTCGCGCGCTCGTGATTTACGCGTCCCGGGAAAAGAACGGCGGGTGTGTTTTCTGCGGTCAGATGGCAGATACGTCAATAGCGTTTTTTTCACGGTGAAAAAGCGAGTTTCACTTAATTTATCGCCGGGAGAGAACGGTTCGCGGCGGACGGGCGAGAACGGTTTATTTTGAAACGCAATCGCGTCATTTTTTGCCCCGCGATATTTATTACATAATTGCAAGCCGTGCGTAATACACGGCGAATCAACTTTCCGGTGGATAAGACCAATTTTTGTTTTAAAAATTCATTCAAGAGAAAGAAGTATACTGATTTGCAATTCCAATTTATGTTTGCGCCAGACGTGCGATTATCGATCCAACGAGGAAAGTCAAAAATGACGATGAATCAACCTCGACATACCTATCGAGGCCGACCGTCGGCATGTCCCGGACCGTGTAATCCATTGAACGCTCATCACCATCACCATCATCACCGTCATCATCGTCAGAAGCACATAACCGAAGCCGCTACGTCGCAAAAGGAAACGACCATATCGGAAGAGCTCGATCGAATGTTGCTTCTCAAATATTTTGACTTAGACGTTTCGGTTACGTCTGACACACCGACGACGGGCGTCAAATCGATCGCCACGACATCATCCTTCACCGAGATTGCTGCGATCAAAGTTTCTTCCGTTTCGAAAATTGGTCGACCCAGAGAAACCGCGGCTGTACCGCCGACGATGCTGCCGAAACAGTTAAACATGCTGTGCGGAGAACAATCCACGTCGAGCAAGAGACAAATCGAACTGATATCCGCGCCGAAACCGATATCTATTCTGAAGAGATCGATTGTGAGAACGTTGATTTTTCGAACAGGACCGGGGATTCTGGACGGTGCAAGAAGCGCAATCACCAGCGGATTAAATGGATTAAATGGATTTACGCCAAAGAGAATACCGTCTCTTCGTTCATATCTGATCATTGTGATGATTTACGCGGTGATGCACGTGTTACTAGTTATACTCACGTGGCGAACATCCACCTATCAGTTTTTCCTATCGAGTCAGATCTGTGGAATTATTGCGATCCTTATGCGCAGAATAACCGGCACGATATTGATGTAAAACGCGCAGATAATTGATATATCGAGATATACATTGGCTATATACACAGCGAACGTCGAAATTGACTGACATGTTTTGTGCCAATTCATCATAATTATATACAAGAAGCGCGATATCTCCGTATCGTTTTCCGTTACAATGCGGATCTATAAATCTTCAAGAAAAGTCCTATTAAATAAGCGAGTTGCAAAAGCAGCGTTAACGATTGCGTTCCGCGGAACGCGATCATTGATTAATCGGTGACCGCTGCCAAATTGACGAGTTCTACGCGCCGTCTAGAAAGTCTCTATGAGATATCACGACAAGATTACATTAGAACGTCGAAGAAGTTAAAAGCTCAGAAATCGATGCTAATTGATGAATGTGTCTTTATTTGAAATGTCAAATAAGACTGTGATTTAAAAGACTGTGATTAATGATGTCACTCGTTTACCGAAATAATCGCGTTATACTTCACAATAATATTAATAATGATGTCAAAATTTCACGTATACAATATATACAAACATATATGTATAATTTTTCAAATTACAGAGTCATAATTTAACATCAAAACTATTGTACTTATGTATTTATTATATCAAAACTAACTGTATATTCACTCTCTTACTTTTCAGCAAAGCAATCTGTTATTACGGATTTTTACGACAAAAAACAATTACAAAACGTGTTTTCATCTTTTCATTCGGATATTTTGAATGCAAACGCTTCTTGTGGCGGCTTCTTTCGACAGAACCGCAAAGATAATTGTAGTGATTTCCTACATCTATTTATTCGATGACAGGCTCCTTTTTAAGAGACGCTCGAGGTCCCAAGGAGCTGCACAAAACGAGATCGCCATAATTTCAGGGAAATGCAGAAAGACAAGTTCGGTTATCACGCGAGTTCTCGGCCGTTTCTCATCGCGTAGGCTCAGCACCCCCAGCAAACGGGCTTCGCGAAGAACGAGGTCCGGTTTCTCGCGATGCAAGCCTCTCGAAACCGCAAAACGGTTTCGAACTCCTCGAAAACGATCCTCCCTTCCTTTTCGGAAGCACGCACGCGTTCGGGTAAGTTTCGTGCGGTTTTTAACAAGCGCATTGTCCAACCGCGCTGAATAGTATCGTCGTTACGTCGCCCCGGGGCACGGCGCACCTTAATGATACGATTGTCGGCCCTTAAAGCGAAGAGTTAACCGAAATTTCGTTGCATTCCAAATGCACGCGCGTTTCTGGCGCGCGAGACGCCGAGCTCTTTATTCGAGCGAAGAAACGACGAGATTTTCTACGGCTGTAATTCGATTCTGGGAGCGAGATTTGCTTGAACGCATTCGATTCACGTGTTTCGATTTTACGATGATTACAGAATATTTGATGCGAACAGTATCGAATTACACTAAAAGATAAACACACACACAATGTGAAATGTTACTATGCTATGTATATAAAACAAGGCAAAACAAATGTTTAAAAATTCAAATCATATATTTTAAATATAGATTTATTCGAACATTTCATAATTTCTCGCAATTTCTATATTGTAAAGTGAAAAACACAATTCACTTGTATTTGATTTTATAAAAAAAACTCGGATAATAAATTTGTCGTTATTGAAAAAATATTCGAGCAATTAATAAGCACCCTAGTTCAACACTCAATAAAATCGTCAGGATCGTTCGCACCTCCTTCAACACTGCATCCCGAGGCAGCTGCGGCTACTTACTCGCTTATCGCCCGAAGCCGTCCTTGACGTGGACGACGTTTCCTCTGAGAGGAACTCGACGCTTGACTTTCACCTGCTGCGCGCGCGAATTACGCTAAGAAGAAATTTCGCAATCGCGCATGTAAGCAAAACACGCACATCGCTGTTCTCACCGTTTTTGGCGTGTTACGCGCTTACGTGAGTTGCTTACATGTGCATATATATGTATATATATGTAAACGCGCGTTCAACGTCGCATTTTCGTAAACATTAGAAGCGATACATCATCCGGAAAATTGTCACGAAAGGGCGATTCCACCCTCCCGGATAAGCGCGTCAACTATTTAAGTATCGATGGCTTTCTCCCTTGAGAGATTTGCCACCCTTGTGAAATCCCTATCGCGCGTTATACTTGTACGCTTTGAATCCCACTGTGCTCACTGACTCATGTTTTTACGAGGATCGTATGGAGAACAAGTCAATTTGTGTGGCGCGTGTCATTTTTGGATGCAGAACGCGTTTTCCGTTATCGAAATTGCCGACCGTATTGAATTATAACGTTACCGTTGTGCTTTACGCGTTCCCAAACCACATCGGTTAAAATATTTCTTTATTTCCTGAGTGCAAAATTTGTGATATAAAAGCGTTACTGTTATATTGCCACAAGTCTCGAAACTTTGTCAAAATCTTAATTACACTCTCAATTGAAACATTTATTCTTACAATTGAATATATGAAAATGTGGTTTCATATACAATTCACATCTGGCTGAAAATTAGTTCGCTCAAGGTTGTTAATTTTTTTCAATATTAAGTAATTCTTTAATTAGAGCTCCGTCACATTTGTTCCCGTACATTAATTTTTTCAATAATCAATTACATCACCGTCGTGCGGGCTTAATTATAATAATCATAATAACGATCGTAATTAAAAAATAATTCGCTTCTCCTCTCTCGTGTAATTCCTTTTTATTACTTACGAAAGAAGAATTATCGCTGTTCAACCGATCCGAGTAATTTTCACCGCCATTCTTTACGATCGCGATAACAAACGTTCCAATTTCACCTGCGGCTAATTTGCTTCTAATTCCAACGGCAACGGATCGCGCCTAATTCGTCGGGACGCCTCGCGTCCGACATTACGGCGCGTTTCCCCGTCAAATTAGGCGGAAACAAACAGGCCCTCGATGGTCCGTGGCTAACGAGACCGTAATCGCGCAAACACCTCGACCCCGAGTCCACCCCGAGCCGCTTTGAACCACTCGTATATCTTTCTCGCTCCGCGAGAAAGGCGCGAAAGGGTCGGGACTGCTTCTACTCTTCTCCTCCCCTTCCTCTATCATGAGAAAGGGTCCGTCGGCGCTTCGGTGAAGCTAGCACAAATGGATTACGGAAGCGCGCTGTGGATATTATACCGATACGGCCGTCTGAGTCAAACCTAAATGTTTGCCGAGCTAACGACTCCGTGCGCGCCAGGTGGGATCGTTGCTATTGTAATTATGCCGCGGCTGTCGCGCGTTTCACGTTCCGGCGATCGTGACAGGATATTTGTGTCCCTGTGTGAAAAAAAAAATAATGAAAAGAAAGCGAGACCTCGAAACAATACAATGCACCGGGGAATTTGAAACTGTCGATATTCAAATCGAAACGTATTTTTTTGCAATCGTCGCAAATGTAAACGCGAGATAAAATTATATACTTTTTATTTTATTGTTTTTATTAATTAATTTGCAGATATTTTTTTTGCAGACTTGTGTAATGTCGATGGACGGATTTACTTTATTCGGTTGCAGCACCTAACGGCATGCGAATGCGTTTTGTTGCGACGTCGCTGTGTCTCCAAAGCGAGACGCACACCCTTCTCTTTCTCTTCGTTCTTAATCTACCGTAAATTTCTCTGAAGCCGCTATCTCCCGTATTCATTACGCGCATTAGCGTGTTTAGTCCACTCGGAGGCCTTCTGAGACTGTTATCCCGCGTATTTATTATGTGCACTTGGTATAACCGCGCGAAAACGGGGTCTAAAATGAAGAGATGTCTATCTACCCCTTCCTTCCGTATATCTCCACCTTCTTTCGACGTGTCCTTCTCTCGCTCTTTTCCTCCCTCTTTCTCTCGACACGTTGTTCTCTGTGCATGTTCTCCGCGGTGTAACGTGCACACGATCGTCCCAGACCGGGTCGCGTGTGAGTGTATAATGTAGGTTGCTGGCACCTTGATGAAGGGTTCGCGTGACGAGTACCCTCTATCCGCCGGTATCCTGTCTCTCTCCTGACCTGCTCGTCCGCACCTCCTATTCCGTGCGGTTCACAGTCCACGGTTACCCACTTAAACGCTGAAAAAAACGTGCGGCCGCGAAACAACGACGACGACAACGACGACAACGATAGCGGGAGGTTTTTCATTTTGAACGACGAATTTCCGAGCAAAACTATTTATCTTTCTTTGTTGGTTTGAATTATAATAGTCCGGAAACTGGAAAATATTCCTATTGTTCAAAATTGCTCCGATGTCAAAAATAAATTACAAAAATTTAATTTTTCAAACCTACATTTGTATGGTTTAATCCGTCTCAAATGGTTTTTTCTATCCCTTGTTGTTGAATTAATCAACACCGCCTACTGGGTTGTTTGCATTATTCTAATGTCAAAAGTGTTTTCTTGTCGCGCGACCTCCAATGATTTGTCAATTACTTAAGTTTGCAAAGTATTGACTTGACTTCTTTCAAGCAGAAAATTTATAAAAGAAAACGGAAACGTGGAATAAAAGGAAAACGACAAAAAGAGATTTTGAAAACGTGGCGAGTGCTAAACAACGTGGGAAACGAACTCCGGAACGTCTAAGAAAGAATCAGAAGACCTCGTGGCACCCCGTAGCGCCAGACAATTCCACCTGATTGCTCCGAACCCCGTATTGTCACTCTCCGAGTCTGATATTCAGCTTGTACAGCTGGGATTTTCCAAATCGCTCGTGCTAACGACGCCATTCGTGCATCGCGCCCGCGTTCTTGATATATCGATCGTTCTCGTCGTCGCTTCGAGAGAACAGCGACACGCCCTCGGGGATTACCCCGAAATTTTTAAATACGCTCAGCAGTTCATTGTGTCGGATTAAAGAAACGTCTTTCCCATTCAACCGCCACGTATTCATCAGTCATGCCTGGCAGAAAATGTCGTCAAATATTTTGTTTCAGATTAGCTAGTTAGTAACGCGACGCATCGTTATTTAATTGCTTCATTCGATATGCTTGAATATATATATTTAAAATTCTTGTTCATTGCAAACAACTCGATGTGTCAGACGTCTTTTTTATCCATTTTATTTGTTAATGCATATTCATGCTTATAACATTTTGCAAATGAGTTCTAATCTTAGTATCGCTTTCCAATTTCCGCGGCGTGTTATGCGCGACGACGTCTCAAGGTCTGCACGGATTGTGCGCCGGGTTATTCCCATCATCGCTCTTCAACTACGGCGCTCTCGCGCGGCGTTTTGTAATTACGCGCCGTCCGTCTTATCCGAAATCATTTCGTACGTAGTATACCTACCAGCGGCTTATCCAATTATCATCTGCTTTCCGCGCGCTGGCGTAAACACACATATGCCGGCGCGAACGCTATATATAATGTAACAGGACTGATCGCATTCAGAGGCCTGTCTGTCCGTGGAAGGTGGCACCCGACACGTTCGAAGGTAATTATCCGGCTCCCCGAGAGCCGCTAAGTATTTCGTAATTAGAGGCCTGGTCGCAGCTTATCCGAAATCGCACTCTCGATTACAAGCTTTACGGGGCTTATCGATTATCATCTCTACCTCCTGCATCGCAAACGCGCTCGCTCTTGCCTTACGTATTCTACTTCACGTTTTCCAACTTCAACTGCCTCTCTCGTGCGCGCGCGGTTGTATAATTTTTTATCGCGATCCAAGATAGCGAGAAGCGCGTCACGTCAATCACATAATTCGAGAGGATCGTTCGTTACATCTTCACGAAGAATGTTTTAGTATTTCAGAATCCTGATATATATTGAAACACCATGAAGAATCGATAAGTTCGCGCGCGAGGCACAAAGGCAAACGATCGTCGAGATCGCAATCGAAGAATGACGAAGTCGAAAACGGAAACGGCGCGCGATTTATTCAACAAAATAACACGTGGCTCTCTCTTCTCTCTTTCTCGTTGCATCGACTCGACAGCATCGCAACGTAATAGCACCGCGTGTGTCATACGTCACACATTGTTGCACATACGGGGAGAACTCGTGGGCGTTAATGGTCGAGCTTATCCGGAGGTACATCTAATATCCAAGTGAGCTCTGGACAAACACACATGGCATACACCCGACATTGATCATCTCGGTTAACACTTCAAGGCTGTGCTTTAGTAACAGCTACATTTCTACCCGACAAACAGCCCGAGGTGTCCGACGAGCCGACCACACCGCGCCCCCGAGGAGAATCAGGAAGACGTACGCACGCGAAAAGAATCAACTTGTACACCAGATGGCTTTTACGCGAATAAAGCGATGGTGAATGTATCAAACGGCAATCACGAGCAGTCGCTTTAGGTGGTTTGTGTTGCTCAACTATCAATTTAAATATAAATATCAGATAAAAAGACGGACGCGCGTTTAAGAAGGCGAGTCTCTTGTCGATAGAATTTCTCTCTAGAACTCTTCTCTAGAATGTGTATTTTGAGAAACACTGATCTATGATAAATATAAGTGGCGATATATACACACGCACCGGATGCCTGCTCGCGGTTCGGAAGGCACCTGTTTGCGCAATTCTCGAAGCGCGTTTCATAATTGCGTACCGCGCAGCTTATCCGCAATCACATTCGCGGTTACAACCGCGCAGCTTATCGGATTATCATCTACTTTCCGCACCGCATAAATATCCTAGCGCTGCATGCGCATAGCTCCGCGAACGCGTAGCAAAAGGCGGAAAACGAAATAAAGCAGAGTCTAGCGAACCGAGTGATTCATGTGTTTTCTATTGTAAATGAGACGACGATCGCGAACTTAAGCGAATTAGAAGTTAATTTTCCGCAAGAATTTATTTAGAGAAAAATTGCAACTGGCGCGGAGTTTTAGTGGCAGTTCGGATAAAATTCCAATATTTATAGCGAATTAGGAAAGAAGAAGAAGAAGAAGAAGAAGAAAACAAGCATCACAAATTCCCGCTTTCTAAATGCACCCGACCGTACCAAAAGGTGTGTTTGGATCGCCTCGCCGAGTATCATGACGCCAGTCACAAGCAAACGAAAACATTCCGACCTACCTGCGCGCGCGATATTTTGCAATTAGCGAAGAAACTTATCTCGATCGTGGCGCATCTCGGCGAGTTTTCAGAAACGAATTCTCGCGGTTTCAAGATCACGATCGCGAACTTGGAAACGATAATGCGTTGCATCGATCATCGCGGCAGCGTTTCAAGGTTACACACACGCACACACACACACATTGATCAGCATAACCGGTGGTAGTTCCTCGGATAGTCTTCTCTCCCGTGCGCGCACGAATATCTCATAATTCCGACGTAGTCACGTATCTTGGACGCGCAGCTGCGGCGCCGGCCCAACTTTATTAGCATGCCTATAAAAATGCGCGCGTCTGTGCGTAAACGGGCGCGATAAATTATGTCTAAAAGTGCCTTAAATATCTCGTAAAGTGTCAGTCAATGAAATCCATTAGTTCAGGTACGCCGACGTCATTGCCACCGCTCCCGACAACGTTTTAGTGTCAGAGATGGGTTTTTACCCGCGGCTATTTCCGCTCGCGAATTAAATTCATTCTTCGTTGTCGACTCACGATTGACTATAAATACTTGCATAAAATCGCGTTCAGACATGATGTACGTACAGATCATTTATTTTTCACTCTCTTTTCATCGAGGTCATACACTAGTTTGTTTTTAAGGTTTGTTTATATTTGGTTTCAAATGTATGCTGCCGAGAAAATTGCCAAAACAAAATAACAAAAAGAAACTTACAAAAAATAAGTAAACTGCAAACCTTGAATTTTAGAATTTCACACACATAAAACGTGAAAGACTTCCAAAAAATTCTGAAAAAAATTATTTTTTTTTTTTGAAGTGCAATACATCTCGAAGGAGATTGATCCTTTTCAGCAACGGCGTTTAAATTCACACCCGGTTCCGTACGCCAAATGCTTTGCGCACGGAAGCTGATTCTCAATATTCTCACGCATCTCACCTGATCAACACGCGTCACTTACCGGCCGGTCTTCGTGATGATCATCTCCGTGCCGAGGTCATTGAACTTGTCCCAGAGCTCCTTGGTCTCGAGGTGGCACTCGACGTCACGCAGCTCGTCGGAGTTGCAGCTGGTTCTCAGACGCTGCTTCTTCTCGTCCGTGCCGCCACTTTCCACGTTGTACTTCCGCGCGGGCGCGCCGTTAGAAAGATGATCGGCGAGGATCCTGTGAACTGGCTCATCGTCAACGCTACTGCACTCCTCCACGTCGACGTCCAATTCCTCATCCTCGTCGTTCATCATCTTATCGGATATATCCTCGCAGTTCTCGGCCTCCTCATCGCCCATAAGAACGTCCTCGTCCGTCACAACTGTCGCAGTCGCGACTATGTTAACCGGTGACGTGTGAACACCTGTGTGAACGGAGATTTTTTATTTTTACCACAAACATTCATCGTGAAATATATCAGTAACGGGGTACAGAGAGTAAGACGCGGAAATCGTCGGGACGCAGGCGTGCGATTATCGCAAACCGCGTCGATTTAAAGCGGGCGAGATGAGCCCGAACGATACCGGGGGCCGCCGCCGCCTGTTAATTAATCGACTGGGCCCCGCATCTGCCACAAGGTGGTTAGGTGGTCGGCGCCTAATTAAACCGTCAGATTTTCAAGAAAGCCGATCCCCACCGCCGGTTGTGTGTACACAACGTTAATTGCACCCGGTTTGTGATATCGATCTGTTAATTTGTACTATTCCGCGCAAACAATGCGTCTTCCGGAGCGCGTTTATCTCAAATTGGATCCGTGGCCGCGTCGTTGTTCGCGAGTAGCGCGCTCACGCACGTGCGCCCCCGGTATACGTATATGCGCCGGACGCTGAGAAAATTTATCGACGTGTTGTTGTCGTCGGCAAGCAACGGGTCGCGGACTATACCTTCTCTTATACCGCGGCGTACTGCCTGTCTACACGAAAAAACTATTACAACTCGTACTCTTTTATTTTCATTTAAACGCCGCTTTTGCCACATAGGTACACCTGTCTGAAATCGAAATTTATTCGCTTAATGCAAAAATCGCATATCAGCAGGAAGTTGAAATTAAACAGCCATATTTGGCGCGTTGAGATCACGAATTCATAAATACTGTTTGTCTGACACATGTTAAGATAGCATTCAATGTTAACTGGAACGATAAATATTTTCAAAAAATGTGTTTTGAGAAATAATAGTCCATTGTATACTCTCTTTTTCTCTCTTTTTTCGTTACTTCTTATATTATTTAGACGTGCACGGACAAAAATATTTTTGTTGTCGCAACAAATTTGTCATTGCTGTTACATGTTTGTGAATGACAGCGAAAACAGTTTGCTTCTACGACTTTAAAGTTTCATTTTTATGTGTTATTACAGCAAAACTCGTTTTGTTCGAGAGAAATATAAAATTTGTGCTGAATAAATTTGTTTGCACGAACATCTTAATCTGCTACTTATGCAAATCATCTATTTTAAGCAAAAACATTTTACTGTATTTACTGTTATACGTATTAGCAAATGTTCAATGTTCTCGGCCGAAAGTGAATTACGTTTATTATATTATTAAGAATATTATAGCATTATAATATTATGGAATATTATTCTGTATTTCTAACAGGATTTTTCGCTGGCCATGTAGTAACAAAGAAAAGTTTGTTACAACAGCAGAAAACTTATTGCGCCGGCAAAAGTTTTTTTTTTTTTCGTGTGGCTCCGCGATAAAACAGCGAATGTCCGAAGTCTTTATATTCTCCCGTGGAGAGCACTTGGTGCACTAACAACTTAATAAGTCATCGAGCGCGCTTCTTCCCGCTTCTTCGCCGAAACGGGAAATGAAAGAGCGGGTTTCTGCTCGAGTGGAAGTAAAATCGAACGGCTTCTGTAAGTTAGGTGCAATAGATACGTTACAAGGTGCAACTTACGCGACTCATCGAGCCAGAAAACGCAGCCGATCGTCGCGCGATCCGTTACGATGATCGTCCGTCGATCGCTCGATTGCCATGAGGAAAGGCACTAATTCGATGTGCCGTTTTCTTTTCCTCTGGCTTCTGTTCACGATATTACTTGACTTCGTTGCTTTTTCTCCCTCTCCTCGCGTCTCCTCCGAACGCTGCGCGTGCTCAAACCGGTTACGTTAAATTTTCGACGGTGACGACGAACGCGCGATTTTATACTTTCGCCGTTTCGTACATCGCGTTGCGCGCTTAGCAGTTTGCATTTCGTTTAGACGAGGCGACAGGTCTTTTACGGGGTTTTACGAGCGACTACCAGATTTCTTAATCTCCCCGAAACAATCTTTCTTCTCTACTTAAAATTCGTTTTTTTTTTTTTTTTAGACAATCGTACATCTTTGATAAAGCTTTGTGTCTTAATATTCCAAAGCTAAAAAGTACTAGTTGTTTGTTCTTTAATTTTGTTTCTAGATAATTTTTGGAAACAAAAATTGAAAAAAAGAATAACAATATCAAACCTCCAAGACAGGTAGTAAACAAACAAATATCGCGAATTTCGCAAGAAACGACGCAAACCGCAGATATAAGCGCGAAAAGACGCAGACGTGGTTGCGCGCATCGCGTGCTGCTCGCGCGTTGCGTGCGCGCACATCTGCGTGCGCACACGCATATGCACGCACGCATCCACGCACACACGCACACAGGCTAATAATAATGCGTTGCGGAGGCCACGTCCGTAGTTTTGCGTTGCGGCACGCGTGTCACGTCGCTCGCGAGTTACGTGTAAAGAGAGGCGCACGCTATACTGGTTCCCTTTTATTATTTTCTTTTATTTCGCTTTCGAAATCGCTTGATTTTCTTATTGAGCCATTGCGTCGCCGCCACCGCGTGAACTGACATGGTTCGGTCTATCGCAAAAAGTTTGCGCGCATGAACAGCGCCGATGGGCGCTTGATAGGGGGAAAAAAGAGCCCGGTGTGTTAAAATTAACACCTCGACGCGCTCGTCTCTCTCGCGTGAGTCGCGAATGCGTCGTCGGCCTTCCGCGACGTCACGCACAGTGCGAAATTACCCCGGGTGTGCAGCGTACCTCGGTGCCGCTCGTTAATTTGCGAACAATCGGTTTTCCGGTTGAAAATCTAGTTCTTTATATTGATGCGCGTTTCTCAGCTCCGTTCCGAGAATAATAAACATATACAGAATTTTCTAAGAAAAATAGTATGCACGACATATGAAGTAAAAACATATGTATAATAGGTAGTGTGTGTTTTTCAGAATATAAAATACAAGATCGTTAAAAGAGATCTCTTTTTTCTTCTTGAAACTTTCCCATTTCTTCGGCGTTAACAAGAATAAACAGCAAATAACTTGAGACGGAGTGCATAAAACACGCATGCACACACATACATATATATAGTCTCACACACATGTGCAATGTGTCGCCATGAAAAACGGGCACAGGCGAGAACTTAAAGGGCCTCGAATCTCACGTACAGGCACACGCCTGAAAGCAACACTACAGGATGAATGCTCTACCGGAAGCTTTCCGAGCAACACACACACACAAACACATACAAACACACACACAGAAAGAGTTAGTAACAGCTTTACGCAGAGCGTGTGTGTTTGCGTCGGACGTACACGCGTGCACAAGAAGGTGGTCCCGTACTCCACGTGATCTTTTAAGGCCAGAAGAAATATGACCAAGCTACTGACGTCAGCTTCCTTTTGCTAAGACCGACGGCCGACCACCCAGAATCCTGTCACCACCCGAGCCCCGGCTTCGAAGGACGTCGCTTGTGGAGGATCGACACACAGGCGCGACCCGAATAACGATCGCGTTACGGGAATCGCCGTTTTATTCCGGCGAATAAGACGAACCCCTTCCTCTTCCCGTAGCAAGGACCCGGAGTTCCAATTGCGTGGGTTTGAAAAAAATACCAAGAGATCGAATTTATTCAGAATCGAATACCTCATCAGGTATTCGATCAGAAGGTGGACTTTTCTCGGCTTTGAATGAGCTGCAGATCTGATCTGATTTCGGGCGTGACGTCAAATTCAGTCGCGCTCGTCGATCTACGACACAAGTTTACGCAACTCCGTAACCTAGTTAATAATTATTGCTGGATTATATCGTTTGGGAAACTAATTTTCACAATTTGTATGCGATACGTAACACATAGATAAAATCATGTGTGATTACGTGTGTGTTGCTATAAAAAAATCTATATTATAGTGCAAAAAAGCTGTGATAATTACAGTCCAATCGAATGCATTTGATATGTTATTTCGCACTTACGTTTGATGGCGAAGCAATGCGGTGGCGAAGTGTGATAGCTTTTAATTACAATACTTGGGAAGAAATAATCGACACGTGTCGACGGAAACGGTGACAAAAAAACGCGCGATATAAAATCGGACCGTGAGTTTCGCAACTACACTGCCAACGTGACGCCATTACAATTATTGCCAACGGATTAGAAGCGCGTTAAAGATAAATTGCATTTCATTTAGATCGCGAAACACGCCGCTTGTGTTCGATCACGCGAACACACAACTTCGTCTTGCAGTTAATTACACGTACTTCGCTCTACCTTCCGAACGAGGAGAAACAAGAAGTTTGTATCAAGTGCGCGGCACTTCTCTGTCAAGATATTAGATTAGGTTTAGTCTATTTCGCATGACAATTAAATTATACGCGAGTTATTCTCGAAGCTCATTATTCGCGGAGAGATATTTTCGCGTGTTATTTTTACACAAAGTGTGTTCACTTTTTTAAATTAATGCGGAGAATTCATACCATCGGCAATATACTGATTGCCTCATGCGAACAGCTCTGCGCTGCCCTGTGCTTAAGAAAATTGAAAAACTTTTTACTTTTAATAACCTTCGTACAGTAATTCCCTTAATTTGACTATCTTTCTTCAAACTATATTGGTAGCTATACATATCGAGCGGGAGAGGGCTTAAACCGGTTTGTAACGGATCCGTTAATTTCGTGCATGCGAGGCGAACGCGAAAGGGATGAGCGAGTCCGATTTTGCTAGCTAAGGAAATTAGACGAGGAAGCGCGAGAGAGAATTACGCACAACCGGATGTATCGCGAACCGGTTTCAGATTCTGCGCGCATGCAGAAAGTGCTCCGATTTCGATCTCGAAAAACGAAAAAAAAAAACGCGATATCTCGTCGATGCAAAGGAGAGAACGGAAAAAGAAGCCAGAGAGTGAAACAAAGTCAAATGAGCATTACTAACACATTATCTCCTCTATAATCAATCTGGGTTAGCTGAGCGATCATTAAGGATTCAACTGCACGTCTTGTTCGTCGTTACTCGCGCGACGGAAGGATAATACACTCGCAGAAGAGAGACAACGCGATCGCGCGTACGATCCGAGACGAGCGATACCGCGGATCTCATGAACCTCTAATTGCGTGCAGCCGGTATTTAATGCTCGCCCACTCCGAGACTACAAGAGAGCGCGGCGACGATTAAGAATCCAGTGGATTGCCAGCGGCGAGCGTAATGGCGTCGTTAAGTGCGCTAATGTGATTACTGGCTGAAAGGCGACGGACAAGTCTCTATACGGCGACAAAAACACACCGTGCGATTTACGTTTGCGAACGGCGCAGAAATGCAAGTTGCGCGGAAAAATGCGGCCGCGCCTTTTACGCATCCTTTCCTTTCTCTTTACTCTCTAATGTGTTTTTTAATTTTTTTTAATTTTTTTGATTCGCACTTTATGACGAGAGTAAGTGCAGAAAATGCTAGTGAATCCTCTTATTGCCTTGCTATTACAAATCGCGAGCGAGTTTGTATATTTTTTTTTTTTTTTTTTTTTTTATCGATTCATTACATTCTATATATTATTATTATATTTATTTTTATAGTTTTTTGTATTAAAATCTTGAGAGAGAAAGTAAAAGAGAGAGAGAGAAAGAAAGAGAGAAAAGCAAAATAAACTATAATATTTCTTTTTATTTAAATATGTTAACACAATCTTATCTCGTGATTGTATAATTGTTTTATCTCGTGCATTTTATAATTATGCCACAAACATCAAGCACTATATACAACGCTGCGATCACGAGGGAATAAACACGCGACAATAATTTCACAATGCTGATAGCCACCATGATACACATGTATGACGATCTCGTCTCGTGAAGACGTATGCTGTTTGTCGATATATTGTACGATTTTTACGTCCTTTTTTGATAGACAACCGTTTTTTTTATACATGTCGCAACAGGTATCTTCCAGAAGAAAGAATTTTTTTTATAATTAAACACACAATTAAGTATGCAATATCTTTTTCTCCGCCGCCTCCCTTATTTTTCGCGAATTTTGCAATACGAGTTTTTATAACGAGATAAGAATATCCGAAATTTTTACAATGAAATTTTAGTGCGCAGTTTTTCCAACAATGTGAAATTTTACAGACCGGTTTGTTTTAGAACTCACTCTCATGAATCTCAGTTTAATTCAAATTTATCGGTGGTAAAATCTTCTAACAAAGCATTTTTATCCATTTGTCATTCCGTACGTTTCTTGGCTTCGAGTGTCACATCTAATTTGCATCGAGTTTCTTTCGTCGCTGAAAAGCACTATAAATCTGCGAAGATTCCCGCGAAGATTCGAGAATTCGATATCTCTAGATCACCATCTGCTTAAGGCGTCTGGCGGACGCTCGTTAATTCTAGTGCGAACAGATAAAATTTACGTGCAATTTGTTGGCAGCGATTCGTCGGTCGCAGCCGCGGCCTAGCATTCTCAATGCATGAGTACCCCGCCATTTAGGATGCTAATTATCGCTCGAGTTGCCAAACGGTGCTTTTTTTCTTCCTGACGTCTGATGAATTGCGTATATTCTTAATTAACGGATGCAGTGTGCGACCAACACTCATCCTAAGTCGGTGTATCCGGGATTAAACTAGGCTGATATAGAACGAGAATCTCATTGTTGCCAGTGAAGAAGCTCCGCAAGATCTTTCATGAAATTTACGGTAGAGTTAATTTAAGAATTGAGATGCAAATACTAGGAAGACAAATATAATCGTAGACTTGAGTATATTTGCTTACGCGTTTCTCTAATAAGTTAATAGTTAAAATATTGAAGGTAACAAATGCGAGCGCATAATAACGCGTTTGCTCGTACAAACGTAGGCCGTCGGATAGAAAAGCGCGTCGTAATGTAGACAGACCGAGAAGTGGTACACTCTACGCCAACAAGCTCTAAATAAGCTCGTTAAGTCGTAAACTGAATTAGCCCTAAAACGAATCCGTAACTTAACCTTTTGCAACTTGAAAAGACTTTTATTGCGCTGTGCTAACGACCGAAATGATATGATTTTTCAAATAGGATTTTCTAATAATGATATGTAAATAATAAACAATAATATACGATATCTCAAAAAAAAATATACAAGTAAAGATTTTTAAAAATTACTTTTAAAATTTATATAAATATTCATAACTCATAAATATTCAAAAACTTTTCACTGCCTTTCTTTTTCTTATCGTGAGAGAACAATCACTATATTATTTATAAACTTGCACAAATGGGGGAAGTAACGAAAAAGTAATTCTTTGCTTTGAGTTAGCATAGTAACTCGAATTATTAAATTCCATATTTTTCTAGATTAATTTTACGGTAAACAGCAATTCTTTCTTTAAAAAAATAGCTATTTTCAATTTTTTCACACAGAAATAGAAAAAAAATTAATTGAAACATTTATAACTCGCCATATTTATTCGTACAACGGTTACAAAGTTTTGAGACTGATAAGTCTCCAAGCGAGGAAGAACACGCTATTTCACTATAAAGAAGACAGTAATCGTAAGGAAAATGGAGCCCGATGAATTTTCTTGTGCGCGTTTTCGTTCTCGACTGTACGGAATTAGGAACTGTCTTCGTGACGGACTACATTACGGCTTCATGACACCATGAAGATACGATTAAATTGTTTTACGACGATGTTGCAAAGTGCGTTCCATCGTTTACGACTATTGCTGCCGGCAGCGATGTGTGAAATGAGCCGCGTTCGCGTTTATCACTTTAACGTCTGACATTTCCATCAAACTTGTTTGTTGTTTCTTTTCGGAGCTTATGTTCCGTTTGCAACAGTCTATTTCTCACGCTTGCCATTGTCGCAATTGATTTTAAGTGTCTCAGAGATGTCTCAGAGATGTCTCAGAGATGTCAATACGCACGTATATATGTACTATATATTATTAAGTATCATTCTAAAAGTATCTAAAAAAGAAAAACATGAAAAGAAAGAAGAGAAAAAAAAAGAAAAAAAGAAAGAGAGGTATCATAATATAATATACGGTCGCAATCATCAGCAAATGTGATATTTAGTGATGGAAATTCAGAAAATGCTGACTAATGATAAATCATTCAAATTTTACAGAAGTGAAATAACAGCTGGAACAATCCCCAACGTACATAAGATTATAATATACTTTCTGTTTGTGCAAACGCACTGTATCACACTTGTTATAAATATATACGTATATGTATGTATATAATTACATAAGATTATCCAGATAATTATAATATTGATAAGAAATTCAGAATAATATAAACTTTACTCCGAAATGGCTATTAATTTGATAATATTATTTTTTTTCCACTAAATGATACATAAACAGAAAGGTGTTAATTATTTTTATTCGTATCTTCAAAAAAAAACTTACGATGATCTAGAGGAGATTCGGCGGCAAATTCCTTCACGAGGGGACATTCTAGGCTGGTATCAGCAGTAGCAGCAGCGTTGCCAATGCCCTGCAGGTGGTAATGCCCGAAGGACGGACCCCTCGGCGCCATAATGGCCGCGATGCTGAAGTCTGTCGTTCCCCTCTCCCCCTTCGCAGGCATCCCTCCTTGCACCCGACAACACTCAGACTCTCTCTTTGGTATCTTCCAATTTTTTTTATTTTAGTTAAGTTAATTTTATATCGTCCTTTGCGTTTTTTTTTTTTTTTTTTAACTTCACTTCTAAATCCTCCACTTTTCTTTTTTCCTCTTCTAGAGGAGAACTACCACTGATGAGAAAGCTTTTCCAGCTCTCTCTTCTTATCACGAGACAATTTTTTGTGTTATCATGATAGTTGCAGCAACTAGAAAAGAGAAGCTTCCATCTCTCACGTCGATTGCTTACGCGGTGCAACTATAAATCCTGTTATCGGTTCATTCATGGTGACACAAGAGATTTTTTAGGTTTCCGCAAATTGTCACTACGTACTCTGATCTCTATTGACTACGAGCTCAGACTGTCCGAATTGCCGGTATTACTGCCTGTTACTTTTGTACAAATTTTTTATACAAAAGTGCGCACGATCACGACGCGTCTGCGCTACTCGACTTCCCGATCACCACTGGCTTGCTGTTCCTCCTCCCACGCGCACCGACTGCCCCACCACGCGCAACAAGAGGACAGCAGCATGCTGCAGCAGTCACATAAGCGTAATGCTTGCGCGCGCAGTATCGATCAGCTGTGGGAGGAGCTTACCGCTCGGCAGCTTCGCTTAACCGATCGGGCTTGTCTTCTTCCCTCTCTACCAAATCGTGAGCTACCCGCGGTCACGTGATATAACGGAGCGGCACAAGAGTGTGTCAGCAACCATGCGGTGAGGGCGGCGCGTGAGAAAGGTGCTTCTTCGCTCGCCACACCCCGAAAAGCACCACCACCACTACCACCATCTCCACATCACCACCAACTACAACTATCTTCCCCACCAGCTCGACTACTACACGGCGACGCTGGGCACTCCGGAGTAACGTGGCAGCGACACGGTGGCCGTGCAACGACGAAAGAGATCGATCGACCTCTCGCGCCGGATGGCCGGCGTTCGTACGTATGTACCTCCATCGCGCGCAGTGGCGTAGAACGGGGGTGCGGAGAGCAAGAATCGCATACTTCGTTGTCTGTTGATTAACGCGAGCACTTAGATCTCCGCGCTCAGCTTATAAATGTTTTCTCTCTAATTGGACAATTTGCTTTATGTAAGGAGAAGATTGGAAAAACGTTCGAGTTAATGGTTATGTAATCAAGATTCGTTGTCATGCAAGTTTAACCAGTGTCTCAACGTTGTTTGATCGAGCACGAAAATTGATTCGCGTGCAATATAAACAGCATTCATTAGAAAAAATAGTCGCCCAGTTTATTGCAATTGACCTAAGTATTATACAGGGTGTCCCAGAATTGGTTTAACATCTCTTGTAGAAGAAATAAAACTGAGGTGAAAAGTCCATTTTGCTAGATTTGCAATAGTTACCGAGATTTTAATTACCAAAGATCCGCGAATAAGCGTGCATCGGGCTGTCTTACGCGCGTAGGACAGCCCGGCGCGCTTCACACAATTACATTTTAATATGTATATGTTATAGTATATGCTGTTATATTAGCTCCTCCCATATGTCGCTATGGGTAACACCGTTAGCGCGCGAAACGCGGCGGGCAGTCTTACGCGCGTAAGACAGCCCGATGCGTGCTTATTCGCGGATCTTTGTTAATTAAAATCTCAGTAACTATTGCGAATCTAGCAAAATGGTATAGGACTTTTCACCTCAGTTTTATTCCTTCTACCTGCCTACGAGAGATGTTAAACCAATTCTGAGACACCTTGTATATCCTGTTATGTCTTCTGACGGAAGTGCACTCTACGTCGCGTTGATTTTCTTGGAGAAAATAGCAATAGCGTGAAGAGAGCTTTACTTGAGCTATGTTTTTCGAAGACAATAGGATACGTATACGTAGCTTTCACAAATTCTGAGAGAATTGGTTGTGCCAGCAATAATCATCAGAACTTTGCCAAGGGAGTGTAACCCCGTCGTCGACAGTGTGCGATCGTTCATATCAGTCGTACATCATAATTTGCGTGAAAAAGATCGTATCTCTGAAAAAGTTGCTTGATTGGCGTATAGCTTTTATTTTACATTAATTCTCGTATTTTCCACCGTTACGTTAGGATTACGTTAACCTTTCCATTATCTGCGACATGACCGGTAGCGTCCTTATCACGATTTCTATCTTTCGTCTAGAAATGACGAGACTCCGTATTGTATTATCATTTAACTGTTATTAGCTCAAAAAAGATATTTCATGTACGTCGGTATTTCGTCGCATTTCATGGCATTCAGGATTCTAGACATTAGTGTTTTTTTCGCCCAGTATCTTGCAATAAATTTTTACTCGAGGCACGTATCGTGGATGTTGGCTGAGAGCGGTAAAACGCGCGATCGAATTCCGTGAATATTATCACCAAAAGCGGGATGAAAGACGGAGAGATGGAAAAGACGGATAGACGTTACGGTGAATGGTAATAAAATCGCTGAACAAAGCGGTCGAAGACGCAATAGGGACCGTTAGAAGAGGCGTCGTATGTGTCCGACACATATCGATCTATCACACACCATCAAACGACGAGACAATTTCAACTCGGTCTTGGCAAGAAAAATGGCAGGACGTGCGAGAAAAAGAGAGACGAATTTACGACGTGTGTTTAGGCACTTAGGTTTTTACCTAGCCCCTTTATTATACTAATTTCTCGGGTATGTCAAAATACCTATCATGTAGCAACCTTTCGAATTCTATTCGATACGCTGGGTGCTTCCGTAGTTGAGCGCATAAAAGACTCCCTAAGGCATAAAATATGAAGCCCGTGTCGTCTCACCGCCAACTCCTCTTTCATCTCAGGGTCGCTTTCAGGTAGCTGGAAAGGAACTGGCTCGCGCGTAAGTCGTCAAGTCGTCTGTCGTGAACCGCAAGCCAGTTCCCTGAAACGATTCTCCCTCATCCCGAAGCACTTCCCGTGCTCTTTCAAAGCGTGTTTGCCGGTACGCGCCACCGTCGTCACCCGTGGTGAAGTTTGCTATTTAACGAACTATATGACTGTATCCACTTAACTGCGTGTACGGTCGCGCTTCACAGTCATGTGGATCTGCTTAAGGCGATCTTTTAAGATCTGCTGTGTTAAACGGAATATTGTGACTGGATGGCCTAAGCGTGGAATTGAGGACGATTTTCCCGCTTGCGGCAAGTAAACAAGATTTCATCATCTGTGAATATCTCTGAACTTGTATGTAAAAAAACGCGTTTTGAAATTCGGATGACGTCAATATATTGTCTTCGCACGTGTTGTAATACACGTAAATAAATTGAAATTATTGTAAACTCTTTCCGAATTCTGCTGACAACAATTTCTCCTGATGAGTCGCTCGCTTCTACGCCAGTTGTTGCTCGTGGCAGCCGGCTGGGACGGCGGCAACAGCAGCAGCTCGGATGCAAATTGCATCTCGACGGTTCGCGGGTGGGAAAAATAAACGAGAAATAAAACGAACAGACTGGCGCGGAAGGAGAGGAAGCGAGGATACGCGATGACGGAGATGCAGGAGGGGAGAGAGTATCAAGGTGGAGAGTGGAGTGCGCAGAGAGAGAGAGGGAGAGGAGAGAGGGCGGATAAACGCTTTGGCTGAAGGTGGATGCGGAGAGCCGGTAGGGCCATGACAGGGTGCGAGCCCCAAGGGAGGGAGGTACGCGAGAGTCATTCATCATCCGAGGAGAAGAGAGGCCTGCGCGAACACACCACCGTAACCACACCATAGGACCGATGGTGGTGGAAGGCTCCGTTGTTGGAGGAGGTGGAAGGCCACCCACGCGGAACGATCGGGTTCGGTGGCGATCCTAAAGCTGAATACACCGACACCAGCGAGACTGATTCTATCGCGCGATCTCTCCGTGTATGATTGGCGCCGTGGTTAGGTGATCAGCGACACGCGTTGGATTTCTGATTAATTTAACTTCTGCATCATCTCTGAGAATGATTGTACTTTAAATCTAATTTAAAACAATTATTGAAGCTATATATAGGTCGAATCTGATAGACACGTGCGAGCAAACCTATGCTATAAAAATTAAAATTAAAATTCTTATATAGTTTGTACGCAAAGCAACAAACGGAGATTATTACCAGTTATCTTTATATATATATAAAAATCAGTTTCACCCGCATTAGAATCTCTTCCCTTGATAAGACCGCTCGCCAGAAACCAGTCGAGTAGACTTACAAACTCTGAGCTCTTATGGCACGAGCTTCTCGGCTGTTCTCAAGTAGCTTCTGGAGAGGGTAAACACGGTTCTTCTCCAACCACCCCCGTCCAGCCTCGAGCAATCCTAATAATAACGACGAAATTGCCGTTCGTGGCAGCGATAACGAGGAGACGATGTCGGGGAAAGACATCGAGTGTCCTGTGTCGGATGGGGCAAAAAGAGAGAGAGAGAGAGAGAGTGCGGGCGAAAGCGGGGAGAGTGGAAAAGGGACATCATCAGCGACTTGTGGAAAGACACGAGCTTCCGACGACTTCGAGGGCTGCTAAGTTCGAGGACTCAATTCTGCTGTTCAAGAGTGTCGCGGCGCCAGCCCTTTTTTAAGAGCCTCTGGAAAGTAAAACATAACGCCATGTAAAACGAGAACTCGTGTATATGTGTTTCTCGTGGAATGCGTTTCCCGTGAGAAAACTATGTCTTTGAGAAAAAAAACTTAAAATGGATTCTTGCTTAATTTCTGAAAACTATGATTGCGTGACGAGTTAAAAAGAGATTATGACATTAAATGCAAATTAAATTACACAAATTTTATATAAATCAATAGCGTCAATAGTCTCAATAACACTTTCCATTATTGCGTTTATATCTTCCTATAATAAATTCCAAGTTAATAACATAAATTTAAATATCAAATATCCGTCAATTAATTCGACGATTGACTTGTGTGATGAATGTATTTGGACATATTTTTACTAGCCATGTATTGAAATATCCTATAACCGCGGATATGTTCCTTCAGAGTGAAAGAGCTGATAACTACGCGCATAAAATATGTTTCAGATAGCTCTTTCTTTGCGGGTCACTCTGCGTAGGCGAAAAAAAAAAGATAAAGCATTCAAGAGAAACAAACAAGAAGAGACTACAGAGAGAAAGTATCGAGAAAGAGAAAGTAGCGCGGCAAAAAGAAAAGAAAAGAAGAAGATAAAAGAAAAGCACAACAGGGTAGAAAAGGCGTAAAGAACACATGTAAGGGGCAGAAACCGAACTATGTATTCCATGAATAACTCATGACGGAACACACAGAGCACACTTGCTTTTTCGTCTGTATCTGCAATCATGTTCGAAGTAGTAGTTTTGTATGTTTGTTCGCATTGACGCCTTCTTCCCTCTCTTCTTTTCCCTTGTGACGAACGATATGGATATATGAGAATTAACGACGGAGGCATACGATGGAACTGTGTGCCGTTTAACTCGATTTAAATGACTTACAACGGAGACGAAATCGATTCCGAAAGTATCTAAAAGTATCTGAGAAGAAAATG